GATTAACAGTAGAAAGAGATGTTTGTTCTGTTGCTTTCCGCTTTAACATTACTTGACGTTGATGTTCGTATTCAAAATCTTCTTCAGTTATATTTAATTTTCGAATCTATGATATTGAATTTATGTAATAAAATATATATATGTATATATATGTATATATGTATATACATGTATATATATGTATATATGTATATACATGTATATATATGTATATATATATATACAGAAAAAAAACGAAATATTCTACCTGATGAACTAAAGCTTCTTCTTCCATAATATGTTGAGGAGGATTTCTTAATACTTGAAGAGTTTCATAAACTGTTGGACAACGTTTAGTAAGAGATGTACGACCTAAGCTGCCTTTTAATAAAACTAGTCCAACTTTAAAGATAATTTTAACACCTTCACAAAGGAACATATCCCATACTCGTAAAATACTTTCCCAAGGTAGTGTTCGTGTATAAACACATAAGAACCATTCAGTCATATATAAAATTGGTTCCATTTTTTGTTTCTTCTAAAATGATTATCAAAAATATAGATATATTTTAATTTCTAAATTTATAAAACAATGTATAAAACAATATACTAACCAGATGTTTGTAAGCAATAGGAGATACTCTTTTTAGAAGAGCAAATAAAATATCTCCATCTCGTAACAATGTTTCCATTCCTTGACTATAATACCCAATCAAATACTTGTCACATATTGCAACAAGGCACCAAAATGCTTGTACTGCTGGCATATGCATTAATAAAAATGCTGCAATAGGTGCTTGGGCTTGACAATAACCAACTTTACTATTTAAAATAGAATAAGCTTTCAATACTTTAAATAATTCTTCTTGCCCAGGAGCTTCTCCAATAAACATTATATGATGTGGAAATTGGCGATGAAGATCCTTCTTAATATCATCTATATATTTTGGATCACCAGATCGTTCCACCAATTCTTCAAATAAATTTGGATTTGTATCCATTAACAATTGACCTCCACAAAGATTTAGCCATGCACGAAGCCTTACTGAAGGTGGAATACCCTTTCTGCATCTTTCTCTGACTTTACGATAATTTGTATTCATAAAATAGCTCCAATTATTTAACATTTGTATCCATTTTCGTTCTCTTCTTAGCATTACCTCTGGTGGTAAACCTTGTTTACTGAGGCTAATATTGTAAATATTAAACATATTTTGATATAAATCATATGAATATTTTCAATTATCTCAATTATTATATTAACATATATATTATATATATATATATTTTATATATATTACCTATCAGAGCTACAATTGGAATCTTGAAGAAAACCATGTCGATCAATTTTAGATCCTTCAAACTTATCACTTTCAGTTTCTGCATCCCCATTATGTGATCCTGAGGACGCCATAGCATTTTTCTAATTG